GCGCGCATTATAATTTATTATTGCCATATGAGTATCTTGAAGATAAAAACAAAGAAGATTTAATTAGGGCAAAAATCGTGTTAAATCAACGTTTTAATTACTTAATATTACAATATTGCACCTAATCTTGTCTCCTTCACATTTAACGAGACACTTATATCGGCCGTGATAGTTTCACGCATCTCACGCTTAATTAGCACACTTACGCAGGAACATCTCGAGGTTAATGGGTGATCTGAATTTTGATCGCGAACCGAGAGATTCCCAGGTTCGATGATGCAAAGACGCGAAGCGTGGAATCCTGGCTTTCTCGAAGAGGCGCATCCTCCGCATACTTGCATGTATGCACATACAAGAACCGCTTTTTATCTATCAACATGGATCGTTACCGAGAGCTCTGTGCTGAACCGAACAGACCGGCCAATTATACAATACGGCGAGCATCATCCAGCGACTCGGCTTGGCTCGCGGTTTTGTTACGACTCGCGATCGCGACCCATTTCTCCCTGTCTCGCGCAAAAGCACACGTGGTAGGAATGAAAGTGGAACTTTGACGAAAGCGCGCACTTTTGTCCGCTTCGCAATTGCCGATCCACGAGTAAACGAATCTCGAAGATTTTCTCGACGATAGACTCGATGATGACCACGAACGATCTACCGAGCTGTCAGCCGGTGTTAATTAACGCGATCGTAAATTAGTGAGTCAGAGAGCGACTCTCAAAATTTCCATTAGAATGAGTATACGATTTCAAACGAGTTTAATATTAATTTTCGCTCGGTGAAAATTTCGAACTAATGGTTTGTTTAATAAATATATAATTAATTTTATAAGAGTAATTGCAACTTATAATATTGTTAGCGTGTCTCTGTACTAAATAAGTCGCTGATTATAACTCAACTGTACATTCACAATAAAGCTGAGAACACATTAAAAATCTGGAGCAACCTGTACTTATTAATAATTACAGGAAGAAATTCGCGCACTACTGACGTTTGTGGTGTTATATATCGATGTTGTTACTCCATACGAGGAACATATTAATTATACGCGCTCGTGATTTACCGTTTGACACACCTGATAATGGGTGACGAGCCAAGAATGACTAACTAATTGTAAGAGTCAGTCGGACGAGGAAACGATCGGCTCGTTGACGATTCGCGACGTTTTCGATCGAACCCACCGATTGTATAAGGGATCGCGATTATAATTCCATATGCGAGCTCTTTAATTAAACGCAAAACCGGAAACATCTGGTCCCGCCTCTAGCTCTCGATCTGAAACTACTCTATCGACTTCACGCTTAATATTTTATACACATGCAACGCGAGCACGCGCATTCAGCATACGATGATCCCGAGCTGTGTAAACACTTTTATTGTATATATACAGGCGTCATAGATAACAACGTGACGTCAGGCAGATGCATGTGCATAATAAATTCCCGCGGTGACGCAATCAGCCGTTACTCACTGTTAATGAGCGGCTTTTAAATAGTCGCGTTGTCAGGAAAAAAAAGAAATATTGTCAAAAAAAAATGGCAGAATTATTGCACGAATATTCGCGACAGTCGATAGATAACACGAAATGTCATCATTACTGCATTAAAACGAGAGACAAATGTCGGAGTAAATGTTAGAGATTTGAAAGGTGAGAAATGATAAAATTTCTAAGATTTCTTTTTCTTTGTACGTTTACGCGCGTATGAAGAGATTTGTCTGCGGGAAAAATAATTATATCCGGAAGTAAAATGGAAGTCACATACACTGTCATTTGGAAGAAAGTTGCTATCTTCTCGGATGCACAACTGCATCATGGAGATAATGTTGCAGACCTTTTCTCTGACCCATTCTCTCTTCTCTTCTCGATATAGTCACATTATATGTATATTAATCTTATATATTCTCATTTATGTATATATTAATTAAATCTTGTATATTAATTCTTGCATAAATTATTATTCATGAATTTGTTCTCATTTACTCTTTGCATATATTAATATTAATATATTAATTATCTTCATATTTTTTATTTATACATATATTCAACCTTCGAAATAGGTTGAAATCTCTCTCTCTCTCATTTTTCTTAGGGCCAATTTCACCACAGTTCAACTATTCTACCTTGTCTCTCTTCAAGAACAATTTGCAAAGCTACAGTTTAATCAGATGATCGCAGCCCTTATTATCACACCTTGGCACTTGCTATATGTACAACGAGCAATTGTTCAGACCCTATTTCTACGTAGGCACGAGCCTTCTACACAGAGGTCAAAAATAAGGCGACAGGCATAACGCGGAAAGATAGGAGAACGTGGGTAGGCAGACGCAGGCAGAGCGTAGTGCCGGGCATTGTCTCTGAGACCGTTGGTTGTTGCTTAAGTGGCTTGTTTCCACGCTTTCGTGGCTTTCCTTAGTCGCCCCTGGGTAGGACTCAGGTCTGTCCAAGTACGAAATCCGAAACCGAGCAAAAAAAGTTATTATTATTATCTTAGAAAACCGATTACGCCAACGAGTTGAATTACAAATGAAACGCTCTAGCATTAAGCTACGCCGTGTCGAGAATATTCAATTCGAAATGTAGAAAAAAAAGGGAAAGTTCAATTATAAGCAATGTGTTAATAGTGACAAGCGAACGTTGACGATAACAGAAAATTTATGAGAAAAGTATGATAATAGGGAAAGAAGAACAGCTGAACGGAGAGAAATAAATACATAGATTTGAAATTTCTTGTTCCAGACTCTGAAGAATTCAGCAGAGCACATCGCGTGTTCTCTCCCTCGTCGAAAAAAAAGGAAAAACAATCGAGGTGTAATTTGGTACTTGCCCAGCGGGCAAATTCAACCGTGTCTACGAATTGCAATTTCGCATTATAGCGTAGTGGAAAAAAAAGAAAAGCATGTTTAAAATTCAGATTCGCGTGCACCAATTTCTGCGATATTTCGCGTACATTTCTATTGCAAAAAAAGCTTTCGTTATTTTTTCTTTTTCTTTTTTTTTCTTCCTTTCTCGATTCGCGAAGGAGAAAATTGCATCGTTGCAAGAAAACACACGCGGAATGCAATACCAATACTTGGCACGGTAAATGAGCAACCCGGTGTTGGAGGCGGACGCGAGTAACCCTAACCGTTTCGCTTGGCCGTTTCAGAATGGCTCACGAATGCCGCAGTGTCTCGAAAAGACATAACGGAAAAGAGGAAACGAAATGTTTAAGATAATTAAACAAAAACTGTAAAAAATAGAGCCAATTATGAGACAAGAGAAATTTATTTTATTCCAGCGATACAACAGATTTGACTGATACTGCGCGAAGAAAGTAGAAGTCTATACAATATGATTTTTAGAAAATATTCTAATCTCAGTTGTGTTGCGCAATTAATTTAAAACTTAGACCAGAGAAAGAGAGATCATAAAATATCCGAGAGAAATCAGTTTGTTAAAGAAAATATGGTTTCTTTAATATAAAATAAAATCAAAAGAAATATACTTTGCGAAGATATAAGACTATTAACTATTATGTTATTAGCTTAAGGAAAAGCTGCTCGGGGTCTATCGTAGGCTTTATGGAGTCTGTAATTGGGTCTATCTCCTGTTTCTCGAACGACAGATGGAAGTGCATTTTCGACCGTTTGAGTTCCGCGTTATCGACTTACGTAATCAACGCGCTGCATGCTCGTACATACATCGCTGGCAGCAAATTTTCCGTAGAACGAACGGCGTAATGTTGGAAAGCGACTGTGTCCGTTAGACACGAAGGTGAAAATTTCCGGCCGGTTAAAGTTAGAATGTCTCCTCGTCTTGCGATTGTCCGCCGTAGGGCTTTTCTATCTTAAGCGATGAGAAGGAAAGCGCCGAAGACTTTTGTTCCAGGTGTTCAATATTTGCATTCAGTGTTCTCTATCATTATTTGTAATATACGTAGTTGTCAATGCGATTAAAGACACACTGAATGATACGGTCGACTTTTGCAACACGACTAACTGACAGCGATGCATTTAGTTTCGCAAGGTAACACATGCTGCATTTTTTATATTAAATTGTTTGTGGAACGTTCTATACAAGATCGGATAACGAGAGATATCTCTAGCTTAATTAAATAGAGATATTAGATAAAAATGTTTTAAGAAAAAAGAAAAAAGATCCTTATATAGAATTACTATTAATCTCATTTATCAGATAAGACGCGTTGCAACGATAAGTGCAATTATATTATCGAAAAACTCGCAATCGTTCTTAATCGAGATAAGCAGATTCTTGAAGAGCCGGTCAATGTTTATGTGATGAGTGAGTCATTTCATCTTGATTAGTCATTTTGTAATGAGACGGGCGATAATTTAACGATATAAAATCAAAGGGAAGACCAGACTTCACGCTCGCGAAAGTGGAGCACCGGTTGCAACGCGTAGTAGCTATAGTTGCATATGTATATGCAACCGCGCACAACATATGGATTGCATTATGTATATATATGAAAGCAGACTTGGCTATATTTCTCATTAAAAATTATTTCCTATACCTATGTTCTCTTCTACAAAGGATGGTATCGCAAATATATTGCGAACGAGGAAAGCAAAATTCGCTACCTCGTTAAAACCGCTACGATGAAGAGATAGAGGCCGTGTGCTTAATTATTTTTAATCTAATTATATAAACAAGCAAAACATTACGTAAGTCTTAACTTGTAATTATTATATTGCAATGATAAATTTATATATTTCATTACTTAAGTGAAAACGCTGCAATATTCTCCTCAATTTTCTTTTTTTATCTGTTTTTAGTATCTTATAAATTTTAAATACTTGTAAATAAATGGTTTTATTTTAGTATTTCCTGGATTGATTATTTTATCGTTTTTCATCGTTTAATTATATTCGACAATTATATATAGAATGAGGATATGATTTTATTGCTTGTAATTAGTTCTGAATTATATTATTTTTTTGCCGAATCATATTAAATGAGAATATTCGTACAATTAAGAAAGAATATATTTTGTACTCACTTCCAATTTGGTGGAATATTCCTCGGCTAAGGCCTCGGCTTGCTTCGTTAGTTCCTGATTCCTCTCGAGCAAAGCCTTGCCGAGTTCAGCGGCCAAGACAAGGTCTCTCTCGCGTTGTTTCAGCAACTCGGTGGGATCCTGCACAACGTCCTCTTGATCCAGCGAGTGCCTCCTCGCCTGAAGATCCGATATCATGTCCTCCAGAACGTACGGCTCTGTCTGACTGTCCTTTTTAGGCAACATTGCGAAAATTATTCGGCGTTTCACTCACGGCGAACGTCACTTTTATCCCGATCAAACGCGCGCGCGGGAAACACTCAGACAAATACTCCGGCACACGTCAGATGCATTTGTCACGAATATAACACTAGTGATGTTGTCACAATCGACTCTCCCTCGTAAACGTCGAACGATCGTGCGTGGGCAGCGCCGGGCTATCAAGCGCCATTGATTAGCTGAAATCAATTAATTCCGGATTTTCATTCTTGACGCACGAAACGCCGAAGAGACGACGTTGAGATGTTCGGGTATATGAGATCAAATTTGACGAACAAGATTTCAAGCTTAAAGAACCAAGCTTAATGAAATATTTACATTAGGTTACATTGATTGTAAGATCGCAAGGAGAAAAACAATTTCTGCCGAGCACGTATTAACTGATTATCACGCAAATGATAAGAAAACACAGAAATACAATTATCTATCACGGCTGCCACACTCCAAATAATAAAATACCTTTATTCGCCACGCGATTATTGAGTTGCAAATTATTGTAAAAGTCCGTTTATAGAATCATAAATAAATCTTATATATTGTGTCTTCAAGCAAATATTTTTCTATAAGTGCAGAGCTTGATATTTTTTTTATAATTTAATGAGTCATCAATGTTGTATTTATTTTTATTGATTTTCAAAAGAATCTTTTTAAAGAATATGAAAAATATTTATACGATATGTGCAATTTTTATTTTCTAATGCTCGACTGTGTTTGTTAATTAAATGTATTCAACATTTTTTGCGAAATATATCCCTCTCAATAAAAGATTATTTTATATATTTTAATGATTTCAACTAAGAAAAGCTATTTAAATATGTATTTATAACGCTCTTAGATAAAATAAATATTGGATGCGTTTTTCAATGGATATTTATTTCTCTCAGAATTTATTTCATTATTGAAGAAGACCGTGAGAAACATCGGCGTTTGAAAAGATTTTATACAGTTTATCTGGACCGCATGCAATCCAAAAGCTGTCGAGTCGTTGAAGTCTCGCAAGAATCCCGCGTGAAGCACGCGATCGAAGAACCGCATATGAATAACGCATAAATACTTAATGCACTCACCTCTGAACTTACACGTATCACAATAGATCGTTAATGGTTATCCCGTTGAATTTTTTCCTCGAATATCGCGCTCGACCGCTACCGGAAACGATCGGCGATCCTGACATTGCGTTCGATGCACTTGTAATCATACAGATGCAAATAGGCCGATCGCTTCATCATCATTGGCGACATCATCACCGCTATCGAAGACGACGAGGACGACTCTTCGAGAATATCGATCGCGGAAGCTTGCCGCGTTATCGATCAGCTGGTTGTCACTTCTTTGACGTTACTTACACTTGACAGTTCACTGTTACATATTTTTCGAGTCGAAGAAATGGACTGCTCTTATTACGGATGCACGATCTTTGAATATCGCGAATTGTCCCCATTGCTCGGAACAGGGTCACTAGAATGGAAAGTTTGCCGAATTGCAACACAATGCTCCGTTTGCCTATTTTCGCGAAACATTTGAGATGTTAATTCACGTGGGCTCAATCCCTTTCGTCATCCGTCAGGCAAAAATCGATGGCTTTTGAGCACCGCTTGAAATACTTCACAGTTCTTCATTTATCCATATAAATAAAGTCCGCCTTCAGTTTAACTTCATCGTAAGAGGAATCGTAAAAAAAAAGTTAATGGTAATTAATTCTTAGACACTGTTCATTTCGGAGTAAATGAAATAGGAATCTTCTCTATCGAGATCAAGTTAAAGTTTGTTTTGCGCATCTCGTTTATTCGTAATGATCGTCTGCCGTTTCTGCAAAAACAAATTGAAAAATAATCGTTTTTAATCATCATCACTTTATCACTCGTATACATTATTTCAACGCGCTATCGACTTCCGCTTATGATGTCATCTGAATATTAATATTTGATACTGGTTAAAGGGTATGTAATGTAATGTATCATTTTTATCCTGTGTGTACGATTAATAAGTCACTAAGAAAAGATTAGCGCGTTTTATTTTAGCGACATTTTAGAGAAATCGTCTTTTAAGTGAAAATAAAGTATATATAATAGCGTTTATTAACGTTAAACCTCAATTTTGCAGCGTATTCAAGTGTATCCAAGTTTCTGTTTCAGGACAAGTTTTCACCATAAGCTACGCGAAACCTACTCTAGACCTCACTGCGTAGTTTCAACTCGCGAAAGAAAAAAAAATTAATAAATTAGGATCGCGTCAATCGAGCGAACGTGGGTGGATTTAATTACGCGCGATAGATTTCGTTGACACACACCAGGCCATCTAAAAATCAATTTGCGCGAATCAATTCGCGCGTGGGAGTCCGCTGTATACGATAGAAATCCTCGAGGCAATTGCATCGCATTATCTTTGAATAGTAACAAAACGATCCAATGGTCACGGACGAGCACGTGTGTCAATTTACGTTTATCGATTCTGACGTCAGCTTAGCGCTCGACTCTGTCTCTCTTTCTTTCTACGCGCCCTTGCCGCCATACACAAATCCAATAAAGGGGATGAATCCTAGGTAGAACGATGTAACGATGCTAATCGTTAATTCGATCGACGATCGAGATAACTCGTAAACACGTTTCTCGTTTGACGTCACTTTGTGATCACCCTTCAAAAATTTTCCACCGTACCAACAGGTGTATTTGATGATTCTTTTTACTATGAATCTTTTGCCAAAAATTAAAGAAATTTTCTAGAATGAATCCTATAAATTCCTAAATTCTATCAAACTTTTGCTAAATATAAAAAAATGATTCGAGAGACTTTGAATACTCTAATACAGACTTCTACTCTCTATTTCTCTCTCGCTTTTGCGATAAAAATTTTACAGTATGCATATAACATCTTGATAAATATTTTTATAGATATTTCTTCCTCGACAAAAATAAGCACTATTAATGACACATACACACACCTGCATATCCCACGTCGTGCAAACTGATTAAAACACGCGCGGCACTTTCGATCGCGAGGATGTGAGAGGAATAATCATACGGATCTCTCGCACATAAACTCGCGTCTACCTGCTCGCCGTGGCGCGGTCGGCCAGGTAGTGAGTCACTAGCCGTGAGTGGAAAATAAATATTACGGAATCGTACAGCGTGTGCTCTCCACAAGAACTACCAGCGACTTCTCCCACCAGGTTGCCTTTGAAAGTAATTCGTTCGGCTCGACGCACCCGCCCGTTCGCTCGCTCGACTCTTTGTGTTGGTTCGTAAACACAGGAGAATTTGCAATAATGTAGCGTCATATTTTTTATTTTTAAAATAAAATAAAATTAGATTTTGAAAATTTTTTAAAAATTAATTTTTCGCAGTCGTATTTCTCGTCGAAATTAAATAGAGGCGGCCACGAATGTCCAACTCTATAATAGAGCTAATAGCTAATGGACGGTGAAAGAATAATTATTATATTCTCATGGTATTACGTAACTTTCATTAATTCATAATTCTAATTTAACTAGAATTCCACTGAACAACATCGCAATTTTTGCTCATAATTTTATCTCACAATCGTGATACCCCACAATTATATACCTTTGTCCATAGTGCACGCTCTCTCCAACCACTGTTTCAGTATCGATCGAAGCAGTATCTGACTGCTGCTAAAAATCTTGACTATCGAAATCGCTGTTGTCCACTCCGAATGGCGGAAACGCGATCGATTCTATCGATGGAATTTTGCAGGACGAATCTACGATATCAATATTGGAGCTGCGAGAAACACTGCGCGACTAACGATGGTTGGAACCTGAGAGGTTCCGCGCGTTCGTTACCCGCGCGGCGGGCAAAACCGATCGACCCGGCGACCTTCCCTTCCGGAGGTGAACTAACGTCTCCCCCGTCTGCATCATCCTCGAGCGTGTACCCCCACCACTTGACCCACCTGGCCAAACCACCACCTGACTGGATCCCACCAAATATCTACTTAACACACCCAACATCTTTGTGAGACTCTCAACGAGATGAGTGGATCCGTAGATCATCAATGATCGATGCGTTCATTATTTTTTATTACTCATCGCTTAAAAATATCTAGAGAATGTTATTGCTCCGTTCGCGGCTAAAACAGAGGGAAAAATGAAAAATTTTAAACCTAGGAAGACGTAATTATTTTGTGGATTTCTCATTTTAAACGCCTGATGCGTTTGTATATAATCTTCCTGCGCTCTAATCTTATTTTCACTTGAAACGAAACGCATTATGCGGCTGTTTACCTCAGCGATCGATACACGCGAATTAGCCGAGAAATTTATTATCTGTGTAAGCATCGGTATATTTTTCTGATCTCGTTACGATTGTCAGGTTTCACACAAGTTTCAGGAATAATATGAAATCAAATTTTTTTTATTAAATCTCGTTGCTTATAATTTCACGTTAATTTGTCTAATAAATATAACTGATTTAATGCGGGAAGTACATTCGCAGGCTTTCGATTCCAAACTTACGAAAGAATCTACAATTTAAATGAATTTTCGTGGCATATCTGTAACACATCGTGTGCAAATGTATTAACAGATATAGGAGATTCAGAATTCGAAATCTGGAAGCAAAAATAAATTTCCGGAAGCACCCAAAGCGTTCCGCAAACGTTACGTCGTTGAATCCATCGCTTGGCAACCGGAAGTATCAACAGAAGCAGCCACATTATGCCGTACAGCTGCCTCGAATGCGTGGGGTGGCAGATGTCTTTCTCAAATGTCAGCGCCCAATGTCATTGGGAAGATTGTGAATGGAGGCCAAGTCGGCTCTGCATGGACCTTCATGATCGACGAGGCCAATCGCGAGGAAGATACCGATGTCTAAATCCTTCTTAAACTATCTCCTATGAATCTGTTGTAAGAAAAGTAGGTACACGGGATAACCTTCGGGGTGCGAGGAAATTTTCTTCAAAAATTTAGTAATAATTATTCAAATTTTAGAATTATTTCTCGTTGTGGAATAAGCTCGTCGAAGAGAAAAAGACTCTAAAAAATGGCGTACAGACAACAACCAGCGGCTCAGGACGAACTGGAGCTGGAGACGATGGCGGAGGCCGAGCTCTCGAGGTTAAAGAGGCAGTATAGAATAATGGAGAACGATCGGGCAGCATGCGCTGAAGACGCGAGATTACAACTTCACAATCAGCAGAACATGATCGAGCGCCTGGAGTATGAGAAGGCCGAACTCGTTCTGGCGATCAAAACCGCAAGATCGAAAGCGTTTACTCGTAAAGATGAGAAGATGGATGAGAAGTTGAAGTGTTTGCTAGCTAAACGAGCCAAATATATTGAACTGATAGAGACTGAGAAGCAACAGATAAACGAACTCGACGAGCAAATTGACAAGGTTACTGATATTGCTGATATTTAGATCTATATAAACTAAAAATTTGATTTAATGCAATCATCAATTCGTAGACATCTGAGAAAAATAGAACAGAATCTTCAGTAGTATCAGATTACAAGTTTAATTATTATCGCGATTCGAGTTATTAATAATATAAATAAAAGGAGTCATTACGTCGATTATTTTTATACGCACTTCATAATAAGCCACTTTCATCCGCGACATTACAACAAATCTTGTTGCAGCTTTCGAAAGAAGTTACAAGTCTGAAGATGAAAGTGCACAGCGATACTCAATCGAAAGAAATAGCGGCGCGACACAGTAAGGCGATATTCATGCTGGAGAACCGCGTCGAAGTGGCGACGAAGAGGTTCAACCTGGTGATCGCGGAGAACGCGAGACTGCGCGCCGAAATCGAAACCTTTCTGAAAGAACGCACGCAATTCACGCAGATGTGGAACAAGCTGATCGGCCAATTGAACGTCGGCAAACAGATCATCAACGATTTGATTGAACAGGCGACCATTACGTTCAATCAGCGAGACGAGGAGCTCAACAAGATCCAAGCGCTTCGCGAGAGGTAGATTTATTCCAATGATGGATTTTCTCCACGTCGTTAATATAGATCATAAAAGTCATGCTATTTGTAAGATTTCGGCATCGCAATTTATGACATCCTTCTTGTCGATCGAAAATGACTTGCGAAATGGAATCGCGAAAGTAGAAACGTTCGGCGCGAATCAATGCATCTATAATTTAGATGGTTGTTTTGTTAATAATAATTCCAGTTACCTTTGAAATGAATATCCGCCGTCGTCGTTGAACTAGAAATTCCGGGAGCAACAGTCGACGATGGAGCCAATGATGCATGAAGTTTTCGTAGATCACGCTTTCCATTTAATTTTGTAACGACTCCTTGATTTATTCGGTCACGGCGAATTTGCATAATCTTCCGTATATCTTCCTGTAAAAGAAAAATTTCGATTAATATTTCCACGTCATCAGCTGACGAAAACGTTTTTGTTTACAGGGGTATAAGGGACCTAAAGAATCACACGTCGGAAATGTGCGAGCTGAAGAGAACCTTGGACAATGAGATGAAGCTGCAGGAGTTTCTCGGTGTAAAGGGACAGTTTCGCGAGATGGTCGATCTGAACGCGAAGAAGGAAGCTGAGAGACAGGCTAAGCGAGAGGAGAAGCAAAATAAGATAGCGGCTTTCACACAAATTTTGCAGACAATCAAGCAATTTACCGGTATCATAAAATATTCTTACTTAAAATAATTACATACTTAAGATATTGAAGAATACATTTCATTTTTTTATTTTACTTTCACATTTTCTCAGCTTACTGCTTTAATTTGTTTCAATTACGATAAAAATTAAACATATTTAGCACTTTTATTTAATATTTATAAAAATTATTTATAATATATTGCTTTTGCTATCAATATTAAATTCCGCAATTAACGCAACTGTAAATAAATATTGTCGGGCATACGCAGGTGAGCAAGAAATTGACAAACTTACGGCGCACTTCATCAAGCAAGAAGAGGAGAATTTCGCACTCTTTAGTTATGTGAATGAACTGAATGATGAACTGGAAAGTCTTCAGGCGAGGATGGAGCAGTTGACAGCAGCCATTGATGAGGCACGTGCCCAGAATGTGCATCGCGACCAGCAGCAAACTGAAACTTTGGAGAAGATTACCGTAGAATTGGAGAAACAGACAGCACTGGCGGATGCTGCTGAAGAAGACCTCATACAGGTTAATAAATTATTATTCAAAATTTTATGTAAATTTATTCGCTTATTATTTTCTTGGAAAAACGCTTAAATACATTATTCAGAAGTTCATCGCTGAAAGAACAAGATAGCATAGGTTTGAAACTTTTTATTAGTAAATTTACGATACATTTTTCAAGGATTACCTCGTTATTTTGCAGGTATTATCCTTGTCCTTAATACAACACAAATTTATAACTATGTAGTTTTAGTATTCGCGTAATGATTTTCAACAGCTAAATATAATATACGATTATTTATGCATTATTTCAGTGTAATGATGTGATGGATAAGTTACTACGGGGGATTGATGGCCTCTTCAAGGCGATACGATGCGACAATTCGCCGATTTTAGAATTATTGGGTGACAATACTCATGTAACTATGAGCAACGTCATGCTCTACTTAGGCATTATCGAGAAACAGATCACCGAAATGTTCCACAAGGTTTACTGGATGGACAAGACCAGCAAAGTGCCGCATTTGCGGATAGACGAGGAAAGGCGACCCAGACTGAAAGTACCTACTGTTAATCGCATCGTACCTACTCAACCTTGCGTCCTGTAAGTCCTTTTACTTCCCTCCTTACTCTTCCCTTCATTCTTGATTTGAGGACCATTGAGTATTCTCGGAGAACCGCATTTAGTCCTAAACGTGGCAAGATCCATGATTTCCGTCTTATACTTAAAATATCAGAGGAAAAAAGTCAGATAATGGTTTTATTAGTCAAACACGTTTAAGGCTAAATGTGCGTATCAAGGATACATAAGTCGATTTCCTCTGATAATTTTAACGCAACCCTCGGATACAGCTGCATAGAGCAAGAACAGATGCAGTTCGTCTCAGAGGGCCTTGAGATACCGCTGACACGTGCCGAAGCCATGCAGAAACTGCGACAAAGGCTTAAGGATGATTACTCGGAGTTGCTTCATAACGTATCCACCTGTCACTTACCGGCAGCGCGGAAGATTATGCAAAGACGTTTTCAATAAAGGGAATTAACGAAAATGTATTTTCTTCGCGCTTTTGCGCGCTGACCTTTCCTTAATCTCATAAGTCATAACGACACAAGGCTCATAAATGAAATTGATCGAAGAAGAAAACAGTAATTGTATAAGTTAATATTCGCAAAAAAAATTATTTTATTTTATTTGAGATAGATTATTTTTCAATGACAGCTTTTTATATGTATAGATAATATAATTTATAATTTTTTGTTACAGAGAGTAACAAATTGTTTTTTATTCATTTACTGCCACTTCGTCATCATTAATCCGCCAAGCTTATGAGATCGCAAAAATCGTGGTGATATATGTGCTTTTATTCGCGATGCAGCAACTCTTTCTCTTCTCGCACCTTCTTCTTGACAGTCTTGATAATTCGCTTTAATTCAAAAATAGTTCGCTTGATCTGAACCAGCTGTTGCTCGACGTCCTCGCTGCTCACCGTGACAGGTATCTCTTTCCTCTTGCAAATCTGCTGATACATGTTCCAACAACACGCCTTCACTTGCGTCAGCTCCAAGTTCTTTGCAGCAGCAGTCTCCTTTATTTTCGAAACAATCGTCTCCCATTTCAATGCTTGCGCTTTCGCCCGATCATATCTCTCTTGCAATTGTGCTACTTTATTATTCAGTCCCATTAATGCTTGCGATTTGACTTCCGTTAAGTGATGCTGCATAAAGAAAAATTATCTTTATAAAGTTCGAGTCTCTCTTTTCTCTCTCTAATTTTCTTTTAATTAAGAATATCGTTTAGAAGAAGTTCGTTAATTAAAAATAAAAAGTAATCAGATATGAAGCACATGTAAATGTATAAAAATAATAAGATTAATTTAAAAAGATATCTTCATAAAAAGTTCGTAAATATGTTATTTAAACCATTGAATATCGATCAGATTGATAATTCTAGTTAAATATTATTCAAGTAAGACAATTGATTGATAATTGAAAAATAAATAGTATTTATAAAACTATGGCGATTCAAGATAATAATAAGCAATAAATCGGATATACTATTTCTGTTCCTTTGTGTTCTAGCAATTGAAGATTTCTATCCTGATGATCAGATAATGCTTGCCTGGCCTCGACTAAAGTTTCGTAACGATTAAAAATTTCATTGATCGATTGAAACTCTCCAGTCTCGTTTACAACTCTATCCAAATAATTTTGGTACTTCCTATATTCTCCTACATTTTGTTGCATTTTATCACGCACATTTTCCATATAATGTAGTTTCTGCTTTAATTCCTCGATCTAATAGAAAAAAATATTATTTATATTACAATCAACATAAATTCTTTGTTTAATAGTCAATTGATTAAAATATTTCATTTATCAAGTATATTTTTATCCTACTTCTTTTTTGCACTTTTCTTGACGCTCACGTTCCTCCTTGATTTTTTGCTCCGCTCGCTCGCGTTTCTCAACGTTTTCCTTCACAAGTGTATTAAACTTTATAAAAGATTGCCGCAATAACAATTGCTGCTTTCTTGCCTCTTCCCATTGCTCGTCCATGTGCTTACGTTTTATTTCTCGTTCCGCTTGTTTTTCTTTCAGTATTTCTTCAACCCGAGTTAATTCCCGACGAGTTTTGATCACTTCGGTTGCCGGACAAACTCTCGCTTTGTCCCATTCTGGATATTTTCTGATATAATAATTATATCATACTTATCATAAAATTTATTACATTATAATATATTATTATAATAAGTTTATTATATTATTATTTATTATAATAAATTGTAAATTATAATAACTTTCTGATAAGTTAAATAATAATAATAAATAAAGATAACTTCTTTATAATAAATCGAATAAATATATAGTGTAAATGACAGCTGTTGATTTAATTATATTTATTTTTTTTTTTTTTAATTATTCTCTGATCATTAAAATAAAAAGAAAGTTTATAAATCTATTACATTATCCGCTTCATATTCTAATTGATTGTTACAGTATATATTGTCTATACATTTTTATTTTTACATTTTCTTACATGTGTCCTATAATTTTTTTATTAACATATTATCCTTTGATATATTAAAAATAATTAAGAGTACTTTATTACAACATTATTTCTATCTTTTAATTATAACTTATATACATTACTTGATACATTGACGTTCCTCTTGCTTGGATACAAAGTACTCCGAAACTGCTTTCTGAGGATTCGTCGTAATGACAGCTCTTTGAACGAGATCTTTCGATCCATCTAGTGCCGTGGTCATTTCTTTTTTTAATATATTTCAAAATATTTATTTAACAATAACTACAATTTTAAATAAATGTCACAATTAAAGCGTATTTTCTTAAAAATATATATATCAAAAGAGATACGTTCGTCCTTCCGTGTACGATTAATCGACCAAACAAATTGTGAATGTAGTCGTGCATACATGATTCAACAAAGATATATGCTATACAATAATCAATAAAAATATGTAAAATTTATATACATAATGTCAAAAAGGAATAAAATCGAAGGTAACAAAAAGTTGTTAAAAATAACGAACCTGATTTTATTTATATCATACGTACTTTATACAAAAACTATCAACAATCTTATTTAAAAAAGAAAACGTGACTGTCAACTTGTGCGTCGACGAAAGAGAAAGAAAGAGTGAGAAATGAAAAGAGAATACATAATCGTCGCGAATGACAAATATAGCGAATCGTGTTCACGAATGAACTTCCTGGCCGAGCAGAGAAAGTTGTTTCAGCAATTGCTTGGCATTAATAAAAGTCGTGGAACCGTAAATCACCCGTTTGTTTACCCCGGCGCCACTTCGTTGTTTCACATAGTCCACCAGGTTCTGATACTCTATATAATTGCCGCCACCCACCACAAAGACTATCACATCCTGAAACGTTGGTCGATTCTTCGGCATCTGCTCGGTATGCTTGAGCTGCTTCGGATCGAGATAGAGATAATCCTCCGTCCGCGAGGATTGCTTGGACTCCATCAGTTCATCCACTATCTTGGTGACGGGTAGATTGTGCTTCTTCACCACCAGATTTTTCACGCCCTCCATGACGAATGACGAGCCCTGATTCATCAGCTTGGAGAACATGCTGACGGTCTTGGTGCCGCCTCCTTCGTAGCTGCTCTGGATCTCGGCTATCCTGGTGTAACTGCGTAATCGTTTGAGGTAGACCAGGGGATTCAGGTCGCAGCCGGCCGTGGTCAGAGCAGCCTCTAGCTTATTATACTCTGCGTCAGACATATTCGTACAAATATAATAGATAATAGCTAGACGTAATTTATCCTCGGGAGTACCGCAATCCGGGTCGCCGATGGTCTCCAGCACGCTTCGGTCGAGCGTTTGCTTGCTCATAATTTTCTCCTCCAGTTCAAAGAAAGTATCGAGTCGTCTCGACTTGATGGCGTTTAAAATACCTGTGGCCACCGATGTATGCATATCTATCAAGCGTTTCATCTCCAAAAGCTGCGGCAACGAATTCACTGCACTCGTCAAGCGTGCAGTATTATTAGACACCATAGACACCGCCACTTCGCTGTCGTTATCAATGCCCATAGAAGATTTAAGCTTCTTCACGTCCTCTTCGAAGGTGCGATACTGCTCTAGTTCCTCCTGTATAGCCTCCGCTACTCTGGGGAAAGGACTGCCCTTATGCTGGCACCAAAAACGATCTCTGTTGTCCAACTCGTAGGCGCGCGTCTTGGAACGTGTTCCACCAGCTGGAGATCGTCCTACATTTTCTTCTACAACCAGCCTGTTAAGTGCCATCTCCAGAACATCATGTGCCAGTGCTTGATACGTCCATGTGTGATGCAGCGGTGTGGCCATGTCAACATTACGGTCCAGTACAATAAGCAGAGGTCTCTGAAAACTGTAATGCCCGGTCGCGCAGGCCTCGCCCTCGAAGAGATTGTTCCTGGCGTCCCAAACATTCTCCCGCAGCTTCTTGTCAATCATTTTGGCAACCATCTCTGCCGCATTGCCTCTGGGACATCTTATAATGGGTACAGTGCCTAAAGTGACGAACACTGAAAACAGACAGTCTACGATAACATTCATGACAGACTCCATCTCGCTATCTTTGACATCGCCGCGATTGATCGCGTGATAGGATATCATGTCGCTGTTCTGATGGCGCAGGATAAACAGGTCATCCTCCAAGGTGATAAAATTCAAGTACTGATCGAACACCTTGTGGATGCTGGCGACGACGCCGCCGAGCAACGCCGCGGCTGCCAGGTCTTCCATCTTCTGCCGGGAGATCGGTGAGATGAAGTTCAAGTGGTAGATGTCGTACAGACCATTCTGCAGATCCTGGCCAATCCTGCCAAGATTCTCGTCCGTGGGTGCGCAGAAATAGATGGCCGGCACCTCGGGGATGGGGTCACGGTCCGAGTGCAATTGCATGTGCAACGTGATACCGAGTTCGCGCAGCTCCTTCACGGAGATGAGCGGCGATATGATGTCCTGGCCGAGGCGATCGTAGATGAGAAGCTTCCACGTCGGCATCGCCTCCTCGTGCCGCGACTCGGGCCGATTCAGATTCAGCATCTGCTTCAAGGCGTTTATCTGACGCTCGCGTAGGCTCATCGTGACAGCCTAGAGGAACCTAACCTCTCGCTTGCAATTATAAGATTAGATCTTCTGATTTTTTTCAAACGATAATTTATCGTCCGTCAAGTTACCTGACTCGTGAACACCACTGCGATCTCCGAAAGACAGCGAACGCGCTTTCGGTGTTGCATATATAGGGCTTCCGTCCAAATTTTCAGGAATCTGTCAACAATGTCCAAGACTTTTGAATTGTCAATCACGGCGAGAACGACATGTCACGTTGGCGTTTTTTCGATCGATATACTCACGTGTGACAGTACCTACAATCAAGTTAGAAATTGATTTGATCGATCTCGGGTAATGCAGAAATCATAATTACCTGAATCGATGTTGATGTATAATTTTTAAATTATAATTATATATGAAATAATTTTTTTATTATATTATTATTACATACCTTATTTTCTGTTAATTATGTATAGTACATTTCTTCTTTTCGAGTATATATCATTATTAACATATTTTTATAAAACAAATTTTATAGAAAATATATAAAATTCATCTTCAACAATAATAAATAAAATATATTTATTATTGTACCGTCAAATTATTGTTTAAGATAATAAAGTTTTATTACTTTATTCGCATCAAATGTACAATATATATATACGATATTATAAATATATATTTATAAACAAATTCCTTATTTGCGAATTCTTTAAATCAACTTTGGGATGTATGTATGTGCGTGTGGTGTGTCATTTTTTAGGCTATTGTTTGTCTACTTTCCATTTTATAGTTCCCTACATCTTTTTCAATTCTGAAAGTGAAATGCTTCTTGAATGCACATTAACTTTCGATTCAAGGACACTTTCTTTTTTTTTATCTACGTCATTAGAACAAAAGGATGATTGATTTCAGGTAGTGTATTTTTGGTATATATTTTTTGGTCATTTTAAAGAGATAATAAGACTTATTGTTAAAAAAATATAGAAGATATTTATTTATACACTTCGATTTATAATCGTCTTTGACTGATTAGCAGTAAATCAATATATAAATTGCATTAAAATCGATATACATTAAATTGCTCTTTGAAAAACAAAAAAATATAAATTCACAGAAATATTAATAATTCAAATTTGACATACCTAAATAACAAACATTGAGGTAGACTTCGTTTCATTTTACTTTAGCACACTTTTGACCTCGATGGGGGACCGCCGTTGCAACAATATCCGTTTCCATGTGCAGCAATAGAATTGTCGCGCGGTCTTTAAGTCGCTTCTCGTATGAATAGCGCGATTGGTATCGTCCGTTCCTTAAACGAGCGCAGCGCCATCCGGACGTTTCTGTCGCGCGCGGTGATTGGCCGCTCCGCGAGAGGCAACCGACCACGCGGCGGCGCGGGCCAATGACAGGCGACGTTAGACAGTCGCCGTCCACGCTCGGCGCACGCAACAAAGGTATGTACGGTAGCCATTTTACGCATGGAGATTTCGTTCGCGTAAGCAGTGTAGTAATAGTGTACGCGCGTGATTTTTCGACGACAGGTCGAAATACGGTGCGTGTGTCCACGGGCCGTGCCTGCTGTTGCACAATGCGCTGAGGAAGGTAATTATCGTGTGCGGGATATCGGATGATTCTGACGTGCGCGAAAAATATCGGACGGCGATTTCGTCGAGAGGGAGAGAGAGAGACAGAGAGAAACGGACGGAAAAGAAGAGAGAGAGAAAGGAGCAAGGCACCGAGTGCGAACGATGGCTCCAGATGCTGGACATCTTGCGTCGAGGCTCGTCCCCGGTTAATTCGACTTGCGTGAATTACGCAACGTGTGAAGGAAAATTCGCGCTCCGCGGAATTTGACGTTTCCCCTCGAAACGGTGCCCTCGTATCGCGAAGGCAGAGCGAGAGAGCGACGAGAGCGAGTGAGAGAGGGAGATTGCGAGCGAAATCGATAAGTGTCTCCTGCGTTTTGGATGTGTGCTCGCCGACCTTCGTCTAGAACTACGGATAATATTACATAAATAGACGCGTGTGAGTTTATTAATTACGTGCGTGCGTTTGTTAATGTTCCTCCTTTTCGTGGAGAAAAAAGTTTTTCCTCTCTTCAAGACGGATGTCTCTCTATCTTTCTCTCTCGTCGTGCATCTTCCGATGGGAATCGAAGGTATCAGAGTGTCGTCACTTTCGCCCTAGATTTCGCGAGTCGAAAGTGCACTTTTTTCTTTCTTTTTTATTTCTTTTTTCTTTCTTCTTTTGACGAGTGAGTAAAATTTTTTATTAATGTTCGATGATATTTGCGTGATGATATTTCTCGGAAATATTTTCATTTCCCCTCAGTTGATTTTCCTTGTGAGTCATCCCTCGGGAATTTGGATAAAAGCCGTGTTTGCGACACAGATATATGAACAGATAACGTCTATCGACATGTGTTACATTATTGTATTGTATTTCCCATAAATGCTCCGAAATGCGTCGAAAATATAATAAAATATTCCTGTCCTCGTGTTTGTAGTAAACACAAAGTAAGCATGTGAACAAATGCAGGACACATTCCATTCATTATGACATATTAAACTGTTTGTCTGTGTGCGTGTGATTTATACACAATTTGAATGACTGCATTAATGTAACAATTGAGCAAGATGCATATCATTACATTAATGTAATGGTATCGTGTTGAAATTTGATGAATTGTAGGTTTAACAAGTAAGAAAACGTGTTAGAATAAGTTACTGGAAAAACACATAAATGTTTACAAGTATTGCGTAAATGATGTAATATTGAGTAATATGTGTGGAATATAAAGATATGATAAATTATCATAAATCTGAGATTGTTGAAATGATTTTATTTTGCTCAACATATTTTACTATCAGTAATATAGTAATCATTGAAATAAAATACAAATTTATATGTAGAAAAAATTGTATTATTTCTCTATTATAATATATAGTCAATTCTAATTATAAATTTAAAGAGGAAATATGTAAATTTTGTTTTCTTTAATATCTGATAAAACAAAGTTTATTTTTTGATATAAATAAATTGTACATTGTCTTTATAAAGAATTTTAATCTTACTTATATTTTACTGATAGATAAATTTGTTTGCTATCTTTTAATTAACTTTTTTTTAATTAAAAGTGAAAACATTTCTGTATTTTATATAAGTATGTTTCTATTTTATGTTATAGTTTGAAGCCTGCTCTTGGCTTGATCAAGATCTTACACTTGTTCATTAGCAGCCTATCAAGATGGCATCGACTAAGTCTAAAGAAGTTGCGGATGAGTACATCTCATCGCTGTCCGATCTTACAATCAACAGTAAGCCGCTTATCAATATGCTCACCATGTTGGCCGAAGATAATATTGAACATGCATCAGCAATAGTACAAGCTGTCGAGACTCATCTACAAAAGGTTACTTCTTTTTTATAGTTACATCTAAAATATATTTTATTCAAAGTTTATTATATATATCTATATAAATATACATAAATATTTTTTATAGAACATTAATTTGCATATAAAATTGATGAGTTTTTCCTCTCTATTGCGTTTTGTTTCTAATTGCAAAGCCTTTTTCTTTTTATAGATACAATGAAAAGATTTATCTTTATCACATGTAGCATGGCATGCACAATTTTGTAATTTTATCTTTGTTACTTTTGCATAACACACTTTTTGCGAACTATTTATAAAGATATTTATAAATTTATGTATAAATTTTTACAAAAGATATAATTAATGTATCTATTGTTTGAATATTCTAATATTTTGTTATGCAATCATATATTATTTATAATTAATAATCACAATATCAATAGACATATGTGTGTATGTATATGTGTCTTTTGATATTAGAAAATAAAAGAATTACAATAACTTGAAACAACGCTATTGATTAAATGTTACATCATTATTTATAATAACGATAGTATAATTACTGTTATTAATAAATAAAATAACAGAGAAAAAAAGTACTGTTTTAAATAATTTACCTCTTGATACTATATTAATATAAAAATATACTGCATACATCTTATTTTTCGTCTGCTGAAATGTGAAATATGATTAGTTTGTTTGTACTTTATAAACTTTAATAAAAACTCATTTACATACTGCTAAATACTTGGTGCCATGGTTATATAATGTCTGAGTAATATTATCAGTGATGGATTAACAGTATACAAATGCCAACCAACATTTCAGTGTTACAGACAACTTTTAAAGTAAATTGTATCTAAAAATCTCTCAAGATGCCAAAGTTTACCTCTAATTACTATCTCATAGAGATGCACTTAAATAAAATAATAAGTTATTATGTAACTTATAAGTTTGATAAGAAATATTGATAATAATTGATTCTTTTTGAATACCATATTTTTTTTTTTCATATACAAGATATCCTGAAATTATTTCTTATTTAACTGTTCATTGATAAATTTGTAATGGACATTTTCCTAATGGAAATTTGATAGGTGCCTATTGTTTATTGCATATTTATTTTTAATACTAAATGTATTGACAATTAAGCCGCAGTTTAAATATATATACAAATAAAATATATTTGTAATTATAATTGAAGAATAAGAGTTTACTATATATTACCTTTATAACATTATCCTTTTGAAATTTAATGCAGTAAAAAGCTTTGCTTTTCTGTATTAAATATTTTTATAATTAGGCCTTCTATCAAGCTGTTCTAAGGAAAGATGAACTTCGAATTAAAAAAAGAATATGTCTCTGAAGAACAATATAATTTGGATACTCTATTTATGTTATATACAAAATAGATAATTTGTATATAAATAATAATAATAATAATTTCTATATAAATATCCATAATAAATAATTTATATATAATGTTTATACATAAATAATGAATTAGTATATATATGTATATTGTGTTATTTTATATTAGGTGAGAAGTGACATCAAGTTACCAGTACTCTATCTCATCGACTCGATTGTCAAGAATGTAAATGGAGACTATCTGAATCTCTTTACACAAAATATAGTAAATACATTCTGTGGGGTGTTTGAAAAGGTAAATATTTTTTATATAATTTTTATAAGATTTTATAAAAATTATATAATTATGTATAGAAAAAAATTTTGTTATGATTACAATTGTTGACCGAGAGAAATTCTTAATTTTTTTTTACGCGTGTACGGTAAAGCAAAATTAAACTTCACTGAACGTATAGTCTCAGGAATATTTTATAGTACGTATAGAGTCGCCTAATGCTTTATATTTCACGATGACATAAGATAATTGTTTGATCAATATAACATCATTGACCTCACATCTCTTCTGAAAGACTCTTTGAAAAGATATCGTGCAGAAGTTTGATGTATCAATTCTTTCTTGTAGAAATAACATTCACATACTAATATCTTGTGAGCTTTATTATACAATCTTCATCAATTTATAATACAGAAAGATAAATATATTAGAATTCGATCAAATCTACTTGCTAAAATAATAGAAAATTAATTTGTATCTTTAATTTTAAAGAAATGATTCTATGCGAAATTATTGAAGTCTTTTCTATCATAAACTAATCGTCAATATCTTTATTTTTTGTAAATAGGTCGATGAAAACACAAGAGCCAGCATGTGGAAGTTACGGCAAACGTGGAACGATGTATTTCCACCGAAAAAATTATTTTCATTAGACGTGCGAGTACAAAGTATCGATCCTGCATGGCCGATCACTGCCTCTTCTAGTAATATCTCTTCAGGATCCATACATGTAAATCCACGATTTTTTTCGACAATGGTAAATTTAATAAATATATATAATTTATAAAACATCTTTATATATATATATCAGAATTAAACAAATCAAATATAGTAGGCCAACTGAACGAGCAAATAAATAAGGTGTAAAAATTTATTAATAGTTAAATAATTAAATTAACATTCCGTTACAGAATCGATATAAATTGTAAACGTTTCGACTGCACTACAGTCTTTATCAATACATAAAAGTTAAATATTAAAATACAAAGTTAAATGTTAAAAATACAAAGTTAGTTAAATATTAAAATATAAAATTAAAACGATTCTTCGCTGTTGACCAATAGATATGCAAGGCGATTGGTCTGAGATGCCAAGTTATGCGTGATTATCGAGATATTTCAATGTTGTCACAAATGACATTTGTTATTCAGACTTCGCAACACACACTTGAAATATCGGGAAAAAGGACTTGTTAAAACGATAATCATGTTTAAATGTCGCATAACTTGGCATCTCAGACCAATCGCCTTGCATATCTATTGGTCAACAGCGAAGAATCGTTTTAATTTTATATTTTAATATTTAACTAACTTTGTATTTTTAACATTTAACTTTGTATTTTAATATTTAACTTTTATGTATTGATAAAGACTGTAGTGCAGTCGAAACGTTTACAATTTATATCGATTCTGTAACGGAATGTTAATTTAATTATTTAACTATTAATAAATTTTTACACCTTATTTATTTGCTCGTTCAGTTGGCCTACTATATTTGATTTGTTTAATTTTGTTAATTTATACGAGCCTTTCATTAATTAATTTTTATATATATCAGTATTATATATTACAATCTATATTATATCATACTAAACATGTTAATATATTTTTTTAGCCTCAACAAACTGCAACATCAATTGTCCCACCTGTTAAATTGTCATCAGGAGAACCAGTAACAACAACGGAAGCAGTTATGCGAGAACAGTTGCTAAAAAAACAACGAGAATTGTTAGAATTGCAGAAAAAGAAGATTGAGCTAGAACTATTGCAAGCTAAAGCGAGTTTAGAGCAACAGCAGAGGCAACTTGATAAACAAGCTGGCAGCTTGAAGACAGAAGTGGTAAGTTATAAATAATCAATATGTTAATAGATGTAAGCTGAGGATTTTGAATATATATTATCTCTCCTTTATTTATATCCATTGTCTCTCCTTTATACATACATTCTTTATATATATCTTTATAATTTAATACATTATATTATCTTAAGTTTTGAAGTATATACAGTGATCTGACATTTTTTATTGCAACAGGTTATACCCACTGCACATGTCTCCCCAACTACAGAGGTAGCAACACAAGGAAAACCTGTGGCACCTGTAATACCAAATCAAACACCAAAACAAGTAGCAAAACAAGTAAGTTAGATATTTTTATATATACACACATGCGCGCGCATATATAATTATGCAGTCACTGAATAGCAGCTGTTATTAAATATGATTAAATATGATTAAATTTTATTTGTTTAGTTTCCCGCAGCAGCTGCCCTTTTAAAGAATGCAGGAGCAAACAGCGGTCCCCGAATTGCACCAGCTAGTAGTATAGCAGTAGCATCAGCTAAGCCAGTCTCACGAGATCCACGTTTGAAACCTACTCCTGCTGCTCAGGATGTGGCAACAGTACTAACGGTAGATCCACGACAACGATCGGGTACGACCAGTCCGAAAGAATCACGGAGCGAAGGTCAAACACAGCCAGTCGCAAATACCATTGTAACTTCAAACCAATTAAAGCAGCAGTTACCTTCGAAACCGGCTGTAACTAGCACTGTCAACAAGCCTCCGGCGAATCCCGCCGGTTCCGATAATCCGACGTTATTAAACGTTATTAATAACAATCATGCTGATACGAATCTGAACAATAGTAATAATAAAACTTTCAGTGGTAATATAAATAAAGATGCTGTCTCGCATCGAACAAGTCAAAAGAAAGACCCTCGATTGACTAGTAATAGTAGTGGTAACCTAAACAGCTCCAAAATCGGTCAAAGTTCGGTTTGCAATAATAGTTCGTCTTCTTCAACATTGTCAGCGAGTAGTCGAGGAAGTGGAGGTGGTGACTCCAAGTCGAAAGATTCGAAGAGCTCGAATTCGTCACGCGGTTCTTCGTCTTCGACAGCCGACAAATCTTCCACTTCCTCTAAATCCTCGCATAGAAAAGTAGGGAATAAGTCGCGGTCTAAACAACCGCAAGTCTGTCCAAATAAGATTCCGAAAGTCGACAGAGATTCTAGTCCGGTTAGGTCAAAATCTCGTGAGAAAGACAGCGGAGACAGTTCACCGTCCTCACGTACTTCTCCACAATCCTCCTTCCAAGCCTCTAAAAACCGCAAGAAGAACACGAAATCCAGAAAACGTAGTCCAAGTCCCCCATATAGAATTCCCAGGCGTAACGATAAATCGAATTCAACTTTGAGCAGTTCTGGTGGTGTTACTGAGGAGGAGCAATCGGGTTCGCTGATAGTATCTCCTCCTCACCCACCAGCATTCAAAGAAATCAGACCGAATGCTAGACAAAGAAATTATGTAAGACGAAATAAAGATGACAGTCTTAGTCCGGAACGTTCTCCAGCCAGTGCTGGAAATGCTCAAATCGCTGCTGAGCCAACATTGGAGTCCTCTAGCAAAGATGAAGATCTCAGAGCATCGCTATCTCTACCTGGCACTACTGTTTCCATACCCGAAAAGAGTGAGTCGATAATAGTGTTCAGTCAAATATACTTATACTTTTCTATACATAACACATCAATCATAATACATTATATATTTCCTACATATAACAACTATAGTGTAATACACTGTTCATAAAAATTTCTTATCATTTATATTTAAATTTTCACATACATGCTTCCTTTAGTTATTGCTAAAAATCTGTCTTGAATATTTTCTCATAAAGGTGACTACAATGTTTGCCTCATCTCTGGTAGCAATTGCAAGACTATAGCAGGTGATATATTTATAAAAAGAAGTATCTTTAACGTATTTTTTGCGCCAACTTCTTTTATAATTATATAATTCCAATAGCTTTACTAAAAAAATTCATTAATAGCATTTCTTCATTCGAAGAATATTTTCTAAAAATCTAATTCTGAAGTGAAAAAATTAGGGGGACATATTAAATAACATTAAGTTAATATTAAGGATTTTAAAGGTAATATTTTAAGTTATTCCATAAAAAAATTGTTTCATACAAATTACTTTATCTTGAATTCTTTTCCAGAAGAGGATTTAGATCTACGAGTATTACCATCTGTTAACACTAGTAAGAGACGCAGCGAGGATGTAGAATCATCTCCGATTAAGAAAACTAAGGCTGAGAAATTTGATGCGTACGTATTATGATAATATTGTATTATTGAATGTGATGTTTGCTCTCTATAAATCTCGTGCTTACTATAAATAATTCATGATTTATATACACTCCTTTTCAACTTTACAGATTATTTGGTAACGAAGACGTAGATCTGCGTACTCTGACCCATCCTAAAGCTGGTCGCCCTCCAACGCCTCCACCGCCCGTAATTTCCGGGGAAGACGGGAAAGATAGCTGGGCGAAATTGAAAACGCCGCCAAAGAATGAGAGAGATAAGCAAGTTAACAATGCCGATGATAAACGTGAAAGGGATCGTAACAGAGACAGACTGGGTCGTCTCAGGCTTTATAATAAACTTCCGGATGATCCTAAAGAGAGAAGAAGGACGTTATCGAACGAAGAACAAGATACTCGACCAGGACGTAGAAGCCGGGAAAATGATAAGCCTGAAAGAAACGACGATAGAAACATTGAAATCATAATGAAGCAAGCCGCCGAACAATTAAACCAAGGATTGATTACTAAAACGCAGTATAACACTTTGATACAGGAGGTATTGCACATGAGCGAAGATCGAAAATTGCGTGCCGCGCAGCGTAAGGAGAAAGAAGGTGGTACCGTAATCTGGGAGAAAGGCATTAACATGGATATCGGTGCCGGAGATCGCGCCGCAACATTCAGTCCGTCCAACGACAAGGAGGTGATACGGAATAAGGAGCACCCGATACCGCGAAATCCTAATGGTCCGAGGTGGCAGAATCAGCCGTGGCAGCAACCGTGGGCACATCCACCTGGACCGCCATACGGGCCACAGGGACACTTCAATTCGGACATGAGACCGATTGGACCTTGGCAGAATCCGCGACACTTCGGACCGATGAGACCAGACTATCAGTATCATGGCGGCTTCAATCACAGCATGGGACCTAATCCGCGATTAGGGCCGGGTATAATGGGTGGTCCGATAGGTCCCAACGGTCCGATCATGTCAAATCTTTTGTCAAACGGCCCAATGGGTCCAATGGGACCCATACCAAACTCTCCTATGGCGATGGGATGTCACCCCATGATGATGAATAACGGACCGATGACAAATCTCATGAATCCGAATATGCCGCCCTTAGCATCCGGTAGAAATTTATCGCCAAACGCATCCGCCAAATACGATATCGATGATAGCGATCAAAGTTATGGCGGCACGACAGTGAAGAACCCCGGACCGCACAATCGCGAATTGCCGCCGCCAGATTCGAAATTGTTGGCCGAGATATCGAGAGATACCATGAAGTCCATAAATATTGACAATGTACCGCGAGAAATTCGATATTACGGGCAAACAGGTGTGGTGTTCATGAATTGGGACGATCCGCGCGAGATCGGCTTCCAGGATGGCATAAGAAGAATATTGATCGACGATAAAGACACTATAACTTGCGCATTTAATGATCAGTACAAAGAATTTATGTACGAGGGAGAAATTCATAGGTATATTATGTCTTATTGTTAGTTCGAGAACTACGTGAACTAAATTCAACGATAATAATATTCACAAATTATATCATTTCAGAATCAAACTAGGTGCACCTACTCGTGAACTGTACGTTGATGATCGCTGGTACGAGTGTTACTTCGGCGGTATGCCGATTACGATCGAACTCGGCGGTAAAACAGTTGGTATAAAACTGGAGGGTCCACCTCCACAAGTCAAGATTGGTACTGTGAAGAGAACAGATCTCGTTGTAGCGAAAATTAATCTTATCATTAATGCGCGAAATATGGTGCCAGTATTTTTAGACGCGAAACCGCAGATGTAAGTATAATCTTCCATAATGTTACACTAATTATTTGTAGAATTCGTAGAAAATAACAAACGTATGCATTGATTTTTATAGATTTGAAATTGAAGGAAAGCCTCATACCCTGGAATTTACAGACGCGTTGCAAACGGTTCTTCTAAACGGACGACCGTTCAAAGTCGAATTCGGGGGATTACCTAAACCTATTATTGTCAGAGATAAGAAGCATTTCATCAGATTTTCAGTGTTGCCAAGAGGCGTGCGTGCTGGACATGTTAAAATTACTGGAATGAGAGGTGAGACTCCTGCCGAGTCATCATCGCCAACGATGACTCAAAAACCGAAAGTGGACGCTGCACCTGCACCAAGTCAACTGCCGGCTGTAGAACAGGAATCTACGTCACAAGATGATTCAGATTTCACTTCGACTTCGAAGCCAGGTGAAAGATGAATTCATTGCGTAGCTTTGTGTTCTTATTTTGTATATATATTATAATCCTTGTCATTTTAATACTCATATCCATAATATTATCATTTTTCAGATTTGCAACTAGATATATTGTCGTCAGTTCTACCATCGGCGATGGCGCCGTCGTCCGGCTTGTCTTACGAAGCCGAACCCGTGGAAAATCCGCCAGCACCAGCACCAGCATTGCCACTCAACATGAACGAATTATTCCAAAGACTGGTCGAAACTGGCATTGTTCCCAGTCTCCTGGAACAAAAGAAACAGGAGGAAGAAGAAAAGAAAGAACCCGAGATTACCCCGGTTCCTTTGATAAACCAGAGACTCTTAAAATGTAAGTGTTAACATTTATCATCAACCTATTACATTCATCTTTTAGAATATACTAGTTTTAGAAGATAATAGTTTAAAATGAAATGTTGGGGATATCAAATGCTGATTTTCTTTTACAGCAAACAGCCAGCTATTGCCGCAGCGTTGTACAGCGGTATGCAATGCAGTTCTTGTGGTGCAAGATTTGCACCTGAATTGGCTACTCGATATAGCCACCATTTAGATTGGCATTTCAGACAAAACAGACGCGAACGAGACTCTGCAAGAAAAGCGCATTCTCGGCCATGGTATTATGATATCAGTGATTGGATACAGTTTGAAGAGATTGAAGATTTAGAAGACAGAGGTCTGTATCTCTTTTTTTTCTTTAGTTGCGTCTAGTTATGCAATATAAAAAAATCGATTTTCTCAAAGATTCTTTTTTTCTTAAACACACAATTTCAATCATTTATTAAACAGGATACTTATGTCTATAATTATTATGTTCAAGTATTATTTTAATCATAGACTACAATATATTAGAGAGAGGAGAGATAAGTAAGCAAATGAAAGTGATTATTATACAATATGTATTGGTATATGTATTGGTTATATATCATTTAAAGACATTAAGTCTCGAAATTAATATCTAATTAGTCGAATTAGAACTTCTATGCAATCGATATTCATGTCCTCAGGGTTCATAATTTTGGCTCAATATCTTCCTAACTTCAAAACTTTAGGATTCGTAATTTTTTAAATCTCTTATTCTTTTTTCCCCTCTAGCACAAAGTTGGTTTGAGACTGAAAAGCAGACGGCAGAAACGGAAGGTGTTGCCACCGATGACACTCCTCAGGAAACATTGCAGCCCAGCGTACCGACTGGTAGCGACGAAGATTCGCGATGCCAGGTATGCCACGACGCATTCGAACAGTTTTATAATGAGGAAAAGGAGGAGTGGCATTTAAGACCTGCAGTTAATTATGAAAAAAGGAATTACCATCCACTCTGTTTGGAAGATTACAAGGTTGGTTTCATTCCTTTTTATTTTAATAAATATATATGTACGTGTAAATTTTGTCCATTGATATATGTTGATATTTATATTTCATTAACGCAATTTCCGTTTGTTGCATTCTTACAAAAATAGGAAAAGAATCTAGCGGTACGTGATTCATTGATTCATATTGTAGCACTTCTGTTTATTCACGTTTTATTATAGAGTATATGAGAGATTAATTTATTTCTTCTTGTTACACACATGCTATATTCTATTTTACTCGAATATATAGATACATATATATGAGCACAAAAGAACAATGCATCTTTAAAAAAAATACTAAATTTTCATAATTTTTATTTATTCATATTTCATTATGTTATCGTCCTCATTTACACTTAATTGTAATGTAAATTATAATGAAGGCAAATTCAAACTTTCTATTATGCAATTGTTACAGAATGGATTAATCATATTTACATATTTGTCACTGTTATTAAATCAAAATTTTAATTCTGATTTATTGTTGAAACTTTAGAGAGCATTAGAAAAAACTGCTTTGGCACTTGAGGAAGCAGCTTCGGAAATCGAGGAAAATAAAATAGAATGTTCAGAAGAAATGCCTGGAGATGAACTTAAAGAGGAGAAATCCAATTTAGAAATATCGAATAAAGAAATTGAACCTACAGAAAATTCAGAACAAATAGAAGAGAGTCCCTTAGAGACTGCTACATCGGATACTACAGAAAAACCCGCTAATATAGAAAATTCTGAAGTTGTACAAGATGAAATAGAAGAGAAAGAAAGTACCATCGAAGGTACTACTGAAGAAAATACAGTTATGGCAGATGTTGAAGAAAACGTACCAACAATGAATGAAGAAGAAACATCTCCGGGCGAAGGTGTAATCATACCGTTCGAAAATATTAAGATTAAAGAGGAGCCATTGGACCCTGAGATTGATGACCAAGACAATAGCGAAATGTTTGCTTTCCTAGAGCATCCTATTAAAATTAAAGAGGAGCCTATGGATCCTGAACCAGAACCCGAACCAGGTATGTACATCTATCTTAAATTACTACAAAAAATTTCGATTTTACACACACACAAATTTTTATATTTTATTCTCTTTAGATCCCGAACAAATTGTAAACGAATCGGGGACTGTAGATACGACATACGCTGCAGTGAAAAGTTCCATTGATGGAAATGTAGAATTAGACTCGACACCGGCACTTGTTCCAGCAGCTCCATCGCGGATTAAGATTAACATCACTAAACCACTAAACAGTAATAAAGATGCGGAAGAGAATAAAGAAAAAGAAAAGACGGTCGAGACGCCAGTAGAGGAAAACGCAGAACAACCATTAGTAGCAGCTTCTATTAAACCCAGTTTACAGGGTAGAAAGCTATCGAATTTACCTCCCGTGGAGAAAGGGCAGGAGTTGTCGGGACTCTGCTCCATTATGTAAATAGTACCTGTACAAAATCTCCAAGTAAGTTTCTATGAATTCGAATGATACAAGTGTATAAAGTGCTAGATTTACATTTTGATCATAAGATCTATTTCTAAGCTTATTTATACCTTGTATATTATAATTTTGTACAACTTATACGACATGATCCTTATACGATGTTTTTTTTTTACTTTTTAAGTCTACTACCAATATTTGTTTTTTTAAGATATTTTTTCATATCTTTAAAAATAAAATAATGGTGTATTAAACGATGTATTGTTATCTTTGTTTAAGCCTAAATTTTTATTGATTGAAAGTGATCCGTTAACAAAATTTAAATTAACTTAGTAAATTAATTTAAATTATATATATATATATATATATATATATATATATATATATCCTTTGCACGAATTTAAAAATGTAATAAAAATTTTTCGCTTTTACATATTATATATTTAGCACCAGAATAAACGTCATGTCGTACAAGTTAAAAATGTGTAAAATGTGTGCAAGTATGTATGAGTGCATCTTAAGTATTAACATTTTGATGAATGCAAAAAGATGAAGAACTGTATATATTTTATGTAATTTAGAAAGATGAATAGTAGAGCATTCCCACGCGAGTGAGTGTATTTTTAAGTGAAATCGTTTTGTGATGGGGAAAAATTACAAATTTGATAATTTATGCTCACACGAAAACTCCAAGTATACTATTTGTACTTGTGTAAAAGTTTGATGATGATTTGCACTCATTCTAAACATTTCAAGTACTATTTGTACTTCTATGGAACACGATAAACCCTTAGAAATGAATACGCCCAACATGTTCGTTGTACGAAATAACGATGTTGCCCGATTCATTTTAAGATGTACAAATAATGTGATATATATATATGGGTTTACTTGTAAAATATACACATCAATCATCAACGGAAAAACAATGACGACGATACTGGATAAAGAAAATGACTACTATCGCTATTAGAGAGCATTATTTTGTTGTATAAAAGACTTATTTACTACAGGTTTGACTTCCTTTTTAATTAACCTTTCTACAATTTTCCTTTATACTTATAATTTCAAAACTATATTTAGGGCCTGAATTTGAATTCGTAAATAAGAACATAATAAAGGCATTAATAAAAAGTTAATCTTGTGTTGTTATGTCTTCGTATTCAATAAACTGCATTCAAGATTAAAAAAAACCACTGTTATTAATTTATCCTTTAAAACTCCATTTTAAAAAAATCTTAGAGATAATTCATCCCAATCATGTATACTTAAGCAATTATTTTAATAAACTTTTTTTAAGCTAATTAAAAAAAAAAGACTAATTTAGAAATATATGCGACATTGTTTTTCCATCAAAAAAATGTTTAAACTTTTAATATTTATATACAAAAAATCGCACCCTCTCTCTCTCTCTCTCTCTACCTTTCTTTTCTCTCTTTCTCTTTAGGGATAAATTAAATAAAACACAACAACCCTGAAATCTTTATTCATAAATTGCAATTGTGCGGCCATCTGGGAAAAGGCACAGTGTCCTTGATATTGCTAATTCCCAGAACACATTGCAAGAATCTTTCAAATCCCATTCCAAAGCCACCTGTTGGTACATTCCCATATTTGCGTAATTCTAAATACCACGCAAGATTTCTTGGAGAAGGTAGTTTTAACTTTAATTTTTCATAATCATCCTCACGTATACTGCCTCCTATCATTTCACCCACATTCGGTACCAACAGATCCAATGCTGCTACCTTTTATGAGAAAATGCATGTAAAATGAATATTTATTTCAAAGAGAAAACATTTCTTGTGAAAGTTACAAATTATTTGTTCTTATTAGCTTACCTTAGATGAATCATCTGGACATTCTTTCATATAAAATGGTTTAATAGCTTTTGGCCAATTTATAATAAATATTGGTACTCCATCATTATATTCTACTAGAAATAATTCGTGTTCTTTTGAGAATGCCTCGCCATATTTAACAGGTTGTTCCAATTGATTCGTGTGACTATTTAAAACATTAAATGCCTCTTCATATGTTAAACATCCAAATGTTTTATTCAACCATTGTAATTCAGGGGCACCTACTGAATACAAATCTGAGGCTCCTTTTTCAATCATTTGCTTAGTAACTTCTTTTACTAAAAGCTCAATTTCCTCTATCAAATCCTCAATACGTGAAATAAAAGCTATCTCTCCTTCTAACATATAAAATTCTGACAAATGTAATCTCGATTTAGAGTTTTCTGCTCTAAATGTGGGTCCAAAAGTGTACACTCTTGTGAGAGCTCTGAAAAAGTTCTAACAATACATTATTATTTCCTAATTTACAACATAACTATGCAGCCATATAACATTCATATTGAATTTAATCACCTTGCTACAGCTTCTAAATGCAACTGTCCGGAAACAGTGAGAAAAGCAGTTGTATTGAAATAAATCTCATCCTCCGATTGATCCTCCCTTCTCATACTTTTCAGAATCTCCTTTGAATGCGGTCTAACAGTAAACACTTCGCCAGCACCCTCACAATCATTAGATGTCAGAATTGGCGTGTGTACACTTATAAACCCCCTATCTCTCAAATGATCGCTAATTACCGTAGTGGCAAGATCACGCAGCCTCAACAAACTGGAGAAGCTACGCGTTCTTGGTCTCAAGTGTAAGAACTGCCTAACGTAATCCTGATCGTATTTCTTTCTCGGTGCGAATGGATATTCGTCCTCTGCGACATTACACGTACCGATTACGTGAACGTCAGTCGCACGTAATTCGGTTTTACCGCTGGGAGCCAGGGCTAATTCTCCTTCCGCGCTAATGCTACATCCATAACGCACGTCATTGTGTTTAAGGATCTTTGGTATAACGACCTGTAACATTTCGCTGCTCGATCCATCGGAAATGTCAACAAAGATGTTATCCTTCATCTTTCGGAGTGCGCGTACCCATCCCTAAGTATGAAGATCAATATTTATATAAATACAAGTAGTCTATATAATCTAGGTAGACCCTATCATAGATTAAATTATTGTATAATATAAAATATAATATAAAATACAATATAAAATATATAATATGAATATATAATATATACAATATATAATAAAAATATAAAATATATAAATATATATATATATATATATATATATAAAATATATAATATAAAATAAGATATAAAAAAAGGAAAGCAACAAAATGAAAGCAACTGTTACTGTCAAACTGTCACTCTTAATATCTCTGTAAAGTCTCTGTAAATAAATACACAAGAGTCAATATTTTCACTTGGCAAATATCTATAAGAATACACAAGGCTTGAATTGTCACGGATGTTCAAACGACGCCGAAGATGCACGAAGGATATAAAAATCTGTAAATCTCTATTATTCTTTAGACGTCTTTTGGACTTCCGTTTTAGAATGCAAGAAAGGTCGCGTATTAGAAGCGCGTCTAACCTGTACCTGTACTTTTGTATGATTTCCAACCGCCTCTTGCGACGTTATGTCTGAAATTGTCGAGCATTTATGTACACCGCACTTAACGATGTCTGTATTAAAGCGGTAGAGCCTCTTGACATATCTCGAAAACATTTCCTGGATCACTTTTGACAATTCGAGTTCAGAGAAATATCTAATATACTCGCACAAGAATGTGATTCAAAATGGAGTCGTACATATACATTAAAGAGGAGAGAGAATAATGCCGCGTCTTTATGGCAAAAACACACGCGCTAATTGATTCATCTCATTCAATAATTTATTCACAGCTGACGGTAATTCGGCAACTATTTACTACCTGCTGGCGAGGATTATCACGTGCCTGTTTTCGTATTTCTATAAAAAGGAAGATAAAATATCTAAAACACGTAGCGATAAAAAATATAAAATACAAAAAATGAAAAAATCGAGATGAATCAAGCCTAAAAGTTGACTAGACTGTCTAAGAAAATTACGCAATTCATTGCGATATATCGATCAACTATCGATTCAATATAAATGTGAAAAACAGATATTATTTTTATTTTTATTTACACAATTATTGTCAATGGTGAAAATCTTTAATCAATAATAAAATTGAACTTATATATCGTCGAAAACGTAAATTAGCTAGTGCTCAAGAATTATCAATTATGTAAATATTGATAATTTCGTAGTAATTATACATCTCGATTGTACTACTTTAGTTTGCATTTATAGTATTTAATATTATATATTTTAAAAATTAATTAGCACATTAGACAAGGAGATTGCATAATATATAACAATTTTGTGTTAATGTCAATTATTAAAAACGTTCTTCAATATATATCTTATTTTAAAAATTTAATTTAATATTTTATAACATATATTATAATACTATTAAAATTTTTTTATATATTTCTTACATATGTAATATGTTTCTTGAATTCATTCTTACATAAACATACGCGCGCAGATACACATACATACATATACAATAAAATCAAAGAAAAGATTAAAATTCTTTCAAACAAAATTTTTAGTTTTATCTGTAAATTCATAATTGAAATCACTAGTTTCCTTTATCTTCCAGTCTTCTTTGATTCAAATAGATATAAGCGCAATATTATTGCACAGTATTATTGTATATACACATTAGATATTTTGCTATAATTTACAAAATTGAACTTGTTAAAATATAATAACACATAAATTACAATATAAATTATATTTGTTTTAGTTTATATATGTATAATGACAAAATGTTCTGCATTATTTGTCAAACAATTTGAATTTATGTTTCTATTTCAAGTTATTTGCCTCAAATAGAAGTTCATTAGCTATTAATAATTGTGCGTTTTTTAATTTATATGCAGTATATAAAGTTTTTAATTTTTAATGATTATTATGTACTATCTTATCAATTTTCTTATTTATTAGTTGAGTTTTTTTTAAGTAGTTGGAAATAGTAAACCAACATCTTATAAGTGATCAAGATACATTTCTGTTTTTTATACTACTGTATTGAAAAAAATAATTTTAAATAATTATTTTAAAAATATATCAAAATTAATGATGTAATCTAGTAATAAATGTATCAAGTTCAGTATCATCTGCTCTTTCATCTTCAGTTTTAGCAGCGTGACTTTCAAAATCAGGGGTAATTGCTTCTGCACCAATTGGATAAGCTGCTGCTTCTTCTTGCTCTTTTTCATTATTTTCGTCGCTAACAGCAGGCTGAAGCATGTTTAATATTGATTTATCCATTTTAAAAAATTTAAGAAAAAAAATATAATACCTTTTGATTTCCTGAAGATTCAGGTCTTGATTGATCAGCTTCTGCTAAATCTTCATTATAACCAGGCTTAGCATTAGAAGTGGAAGGGAGAGCACTTGCACAGTCGAGTGAGAATGTTCCCTAACAAAGTTGGATTATAATTTAGGAGGGAATTATTTATGTATTATGTAACAGAAGTTTGTACTTTTTTATATTATTGTTTACCGATACTTCCAAATGGTCTAGTAATGGTACTTGAGATGAAGCTGGAGAAGTAGTGTCTACATGAGATGTAACTAATTCGGTCACAGACGATTGATTTTCCAAACCGAAGCCCAAAATAGCACCGCCATCCGAATCTTCGTCGCTAGATTGACAACTTTCACTTGGCGTTAAGTCAGCTGCCTCGTTCTATATAACATTTCAATTAGTAGTTACAAAACTCAATTTTATTGCACATATATTATAAATGTTAATTATATACTAACCAATGGATTATTTAATGTTTGTGTATCTTGTAGAGCACGTAGTGATTTTAGCAATTGAGATCGCAGTCTGTGGTCTTCACTAATAGTCTTAATTTCTCTCAAAATAATTACTAGAAAATCTGGTCGTCTTTTATTCACTGCGATGAGCGAACTGATTGCCTCTTTCATCTCTGAACTATTTGTAATAAATTGCTTAAATTTAATATATATTCTTTCATATAACAAAAAAAATAATATATTTATTATATTTTTTAATTAATAAATATATTATCACACACACACACACACACACACATTATTTTAAGTTATAATAAATATTTAAAAGAAGAGATTCAAACCTGAGATTATTAAAGATGTTATCGTCATTTGTTGTAGATGTTAATCGGAAAGAACTATGAGCTTCCTCCCAAAGATTATCAACTTGTTGAGACATCTCATTTGCTATGATATTACTACGACTAGTAGCATTTTCTCTGTCTTGTTGTTGTAAATTCGACGATAATTGGAGGTTTAATGAATATTGTGTTTCTGCGCCGATTAAAGGTAAATTTTCAGCTCCTTGTTCTCTATTTCGTTTGTCTTTTCTTGAAAATTAAATAAAAAATATTATATAAAAAATAACATATCCTAATATTTAATTATCTTTACATGTCGTACATACATCAGTGAACTGTTGACACTACTTCCACTTGCATTAGTCGTGTTTGCAGAACATGCCGAGTTTGCTATAACTACTGGAGAATCAGTCATTGTTTTTACATTTCCTGAGAGTAGATTTTGCCGGGAATAACTGAAAATAAAAAAAAGATAATTAAAGAGAAACAATTTATATTTATAATCTTGTGTAAAAATTCAAATATCAAAATTTATATTTAAAATGTTTATTTTAACACATAAAACAATTTTATTACAGCATATAATTTACAGAATAATGCAGGATTTTGTTTAAAAAAACCGTACGTTAGAATTACAGAAATAAATATGTTTGAAATCACAAATCACAAAAATATCTCAATGTTAGAATAATTATTGTCTGCATGCACATTAATATTAGTCATCAAACAATTTAGATTGATAGATTGATATGTTCTATCTCCAATTTCATGAAAATTTGTTTACGTACCTATATATTACCTACCAACAAATGTTTTCCTTATTTAGTTTTTTGTTTGTATTAACCACACAGGATTATTTAACTGAATTATGATATAGGCTAAACGTGCTTAAATATCTCAGTCTTAAACAAGGATAATGATAATTGAAAAGTATAAGACAGAAAATGACAAAGGCGGAGATTGTAATGTTTATTATTATGTAGATGTAATGTAATACATTAGACTTACAGGAAAATAGAAAACAAAAACGCGTAATCTAATCTGATCAAATCAGGAAATATTATAATAACGAAAAATAACGAAAAATATGGAGTAAAAATATAAATTTCTGATATTAAATTGTTTCCATAAATAATTTTTGTTGTTGAATGTTGCTTTTTATCATTAAAATGTAGTTAATTGTCATTTTTCTTTATTATAACAATCATGTTTAAAATTAAATGTAATAAGTAAAGAAAAAACCTTTTCCTTTAATGGAGTAAATAAAAATTTAGCTATGAAAATAAGAGTAATACACAATAAAATATAATTTTCACAAGTCTACACTTTTATAACATATCAGAAAAGACGGCATATACTTGTGTATTGATTTGTAAATCATTTTTTTACCTTCGAAAATTGTCCCAGTAGTTGTTTGCTCTATTACCAGGAGGTACTTGATTGTTCAACTGTTGTTGCTGTTGTTGCTGTGAGTTAGAAGTAACTATCGGAGTTTGCGATAATGCTGTCGAAGAATTAGGTAGCGACACAAGATTTGGTAAAGACGAACTAGGAGGCAAAGTCGCGTCCAATGTATCGCCGAGATTGTGAACACTACGGCTCAGATTAGAATATTCTTCCTGACTTTCGGTATTGTTGGCGCGCTGCGGTACCTCATTTTGCGATCTCACTTGTAATTGCAGTTGAGAAATAGCGGCACGCATCGATTGTAACTCGCGTTGCTGCGCCCACAGAAGTTGACAGCACTGTTGTACTGTTGTACCCATCATTTGCAGTTGTTGAGCTTGCGAACCCAATAATAATTGTCGGTAATATTCGGCTGAAGCTGCAACAAAAGAAATATATCTTAATATTTCCTTCTTTAATTAAAAAAAGTTTCGAATATTATTATATCTTTAATTTGATACTTTACCTTGTCCTTGATTTAAGTTAGACGCAGCTGGTACAGGACAAGCCCACCAATTATTGTTGAATGCACCATTCTCAATAGCAGTAATTTGTGGACCAATATCCAATAAATTTTCTGATGTAGATACACCATCCACACTTTGCTCGTTAGAACCTCCTCCACCTAGAATACATGCATAATAAAAATACATTATGTAATATTAATATATAATAAAACATATAAGAATAAAAAATAAAATAATTGATAAAAATAATTAAATAAATATAATAAAATAATATTTACCTGTAGCAGTAGAAGGTGGCCAGATATTTGCAGGTGTGCTGGTATAACTAGCTTGTGAAGCTGAGCTTCTTTGACTATTGTGATCTGGCACTTGAACATCCCGATTTGCATTGGACGGCTGCATTTGTTCCTATTTTTAAAAAAAGAAGTTGTATAATTGCGACTATGTAACAAAACAAAAAAAATAATGTATTAATAATGTATTAATAATATGGAATTCAGACCTTTCTTATCAAATCTTCCAGTTGACGTTTTTTTGCTTGCATGGGTTGAGTTTCTGTACTAACATTATTACTCTGCTTCTTTTCGCTTGCATTTAAAGGTATAAGCGTTGGAGGCGGGCTTGAAGATGAAAAGGAGGAAGCAGAAGTTACCTGGGTAGCTGGTAATGTTAATAATGGTTGCTTTAAACGATGTAATTCAGCTCGCGTGGCTTGAAGCAAAGCTGATTGTTCTTTAAGCTCTCGTGTTACGTTCTAGAGAAAAGAAATATATTACAATTTACACATTATATTAAAAAAAAATGATCGCTATTTATTACCTGTATATCTTCAAGTGTAGGCATAAAGTTTCGAATTTTTCCGGCGTCATCACTATCGCTTCGACATTCAAATGAAGTGTTCGCCACATCCTCGGTAATCCCAATATCTGCTGCACCTTCACAGTTCATATCAATGTCTTGTTCAAGTTCGGAAGTAGAATCCATAGAGTCGCGAATTCTTGTGCCGTCTTCCATTAGAGCTTTTATATGCGCGAGCTGCGCTTTCATAGCCTCTAATTCCGCGGCTTTATCTCTAGTTGTATTTCTTGAGCCTTCAAGAAGCTGAACAATACAAATATACAATAATAATAAATAATAATTAAAGAGAAACTTATTTGTAAAATACAGAAATAAATATACATCTCACAAATATAAAATTTTATGTAGCAAGCTAATAAGATCAAGAAAATAATGTAGTTTAATCAAATTTTCTAGTATTTTCAAATATTTGGTGAATGTTCAAAATTATAGTAAATATAAAATTCTGTTAAACCATTTGTTTAAATATGAATTAGACATAAATATATAAGTTTTTCTAAAATAAACACAGTAATAGTCAGCTTTCATTTCAATATTATAATGAATAAAAAAAATATTTACATACTATAAAAATTATGGAGTAAAATTTTGAAATGTATATTATAAGTATGTAATTGTCACTTTTATCACATTAAAAATACAAAATAAAACTAACACAATTGCCTCTGTCAGCTGCCTCTAGGGCTTGTAATTCCGCCACAAGATGATCCATATGTTTCTTTTTTGTTTGAAGTTGCGCTAACTTCCCTTTTAGCACTGCCGTTTGCGATTCGAGTTGTTCGACTTTCCCCGGATCCGATGAAGACGCGCGATTGTCTTCCCATGTAGCCGAATTAGATGCATTTTGATCTTCTTGCAGAAGTAATTGTTGCGCTTGACGTGCCTCGTTCAATCTTTCTCTGACGCGGATTTGCATACCCATCAAGTTAGCTTGATGCTCTTGCAATTGTGTAAGTTTGTTCTGATAGTCTTCTAAATTCCTCCGTAATCGCATCTCTCTATTAGCATCACCGCCTTCATCTACGTCCTCTCGTCCGTTTTCACCATTCTGCAAAAAAATATTCAGTTTAGAAAAAAATAAAAATTTATCGCAAATATTTCAATAATAAAGTTATTAAATGTTAAGAACCTCATCAGAAACTCCATGATTATGATATTGTTCCAATAATTTGGATAGCTTTGTCTCGCTATCTTGAAGATCCTCCACCATCCTACTTAATTTTTCTTTCTGGACCTGTGCACGCTATAAAATAATAATAGTTACAGTATTGAAAAGCAATTTAAGCAAAATCCTACCTAATATAAAATATTAAAAATATCATGTACATACATTCTTATTGCATATGCAATACTTACAAGATCAGATGATTGACTAAGTGATTCCATCATTGTTCCAGTGATTTTAATATAGTCCCTGAGCTGATTTAAACGACTCTCTACGTCGTTTCTGTCAGGCTTTAAGAAATATAATAACAAGATTAAAATTATATCATTTGCAAAAAGAAAATTATGAAAATTTTAAATTAATGTAACACAGTACCATCTTATTCACATTGGAAGGCTTAGTTTCTTGTGGTAATCGTGGTGGTGATTGAGTTCTAGGATCAATAGGTGGTACCATTTTTAGCCAAGGAGGAGGGTATTCTTCTGTACTATAATTGCACTGACTCCCTGAGCTATGCGATGCTGTGATAATGAGTGGAATTACAAATAATGTTTATAGATCAAAAAAATTAATGTGGATAAACTTAAATATATATTCACCAAATTCAGATAAGTCTTGATATGTTGGAAAATATGAAGAAGGCAATAGAGAGGAAGTTGATCTCGTGTTGCTATTCTTCGCAGCTCTTGATACTCTTGGTTCACGTTCACGCTCACTCACTGTTTGCCAGCTCAGGTGAAACTAACAAAAAATTTGTGTTACATAGATAAAATGTTAATAAAAGTGCAAAGGTGAAATTAAAGTAAGTAGAATGATATAGAACAATGCCTGCAGCTCTACTGGTTACCAATGTGGATTCACTTTTTGTGAGTATTCTTAGAGCAAGAAACGCCCCACTACTCTATAGGCTATTAATAGATTGAATTCGATACTGCTAGAAGCAGCTTAATAGTATACCCCTGTAAGTTCCATACATCTTCCCGTTGCTAAATATATATTTTTTTAACTCCTCAAATGATTTCTCTTTTAACATTTGTACATGCATACTATAATTAATTCTTTACTATTATTTACTTATATGATTCTACAGAGCAACTCTCTACTTATCATATAATGTAATATTATTCCATAATAAATTTAAAATATTTTATACAAATAGATACAAGAAAAAGTTAATTATAATTTATAATAGTTCTTAAAATAATAAAGAAAATTTAATAACAATGTATATAATGAAGTGCGCTGCCTATATTTTTTTCAGTGTTGCATCATCCGATGCACTTAATAAAATAAGAAAAAAAAAGAAAGAGAAAGAAAGAGAGTAACAAGAAAATAAATTTCTTTCTTGATGAATTTACCAAATTGTTAAAATGCTGCGGATGGCCGTGATAAGCGGCCTGCGAGCGGTTTGCGAGCTGCTGATTAACGGCGGACTGCTCTCGGTTTCTATCGTTCCTTCGATTGCTTTTCGGCAGGGTGCCCGTATTGCGGGTACCGCCGCCGTTAATCCCGGGAGACATCGCCGTTCTCTTCCCTTTCCCTTACAAAAGCTACGCGCTATTCAAATTCCGCGACTCTCGGATTCTCGACTTTGACAGGTTAGCTGTCAATCAAGATAACCGCGCCAATCGCGGTTTCTGAATTGAATATCTTCTAGATCTGCGCTTTTAAATCTATTTACCTGGACTGAATATGCGAGAAAGAAGGTGCGAATGACGCAAAAACAATCTTACGTTCCCGACAAAAGGAATAAATCAGCACGACGACGAAAACGTGTGACTACTACTCGTGATGCTCGTAATATCTCGAGGCGAAATCGCATCCGGTTGATCTTACGTCAAAATTCTTGGCAGATTCGATCGAGAGAGTACTATAAATAAGACAGGCCATTGACGTGTTTCGCCGCGATGATATATGTCAATTGTCTACTTCACTTTGACAGCAACGAAGCTGGTTTCTAACATCCCACACGCGATATCGCGGCCATTTTTAAATACTGCTAACTTCTGTTTGCATACACATATATCATATATATAGCGTACGGATTTATTTGTCTCTCGTTTCAACCGATTGTCAGTTTCAAATTAACAAGCTGTCATATAATAATGAAAGGTACGTGGTACGAAAGTGATTTTTTAACTTATCACTGATATTCTGGCAATCTATGTCGGAAAACACAGATTCATAAATTTCTGTATTGTAATTTCTTGTATTGAAATACTCTCGAATTGTTGCGAATTTTGAGCATGTTAGCATAGAGGTTGGTGGAAAATTTATACAAAGCCACTGCTGTTTTATTAAAAATGTTTTTGTTAATGAAAATATGTGAAATATTTTTTGTTAAAAAAAATATAATGAGTATAATTAATCTATCAATATATATATATCAATATATATATATATATGTTATTCCAACATTCATTTTTTGCATCTGAAATTTTAAATATTATGAACACAAAATCACACGAAAACAGAAAATCATAAAGACGAAAAAAGATCAATTTTATTTAGATTTTCCTGTTATAATCAAATAGGTTTCATCGAGAATTGCATTCTAAAATATTTGATAATTGTACATTCGAGTCTCCATTTTCGTCCTCCTTGGTTGTGTTCGAAAATCTACTCATCAGGATAGAGGAGTTCGATCGACCAATCAGGACGAAGAAATCTTCGATCCTGATTGGTCGATCATCGCTACCTCATTTTGACGCCTGATTTTCGAACGCAAGCTCTCCATCGCAATTGACACGTGCTGCCATCTGATGAATTCTAGTTTCGGGTCGGCGGGATGCGAGTGAAAGCGCGGCCGCGTATTTCCCGCCTATGGCCCCGAAGAGAGTTAATAATAAATGTCCCGCGTATAGTATCGCCGCCGAGGCGAAGCTGTCTATCCACGGTGTCGGTCTCTAAGTTTAGTCGGGACATAACTCGCGTGTGACAAGCAACGAGCTCGAACTGAGGGAAGAGAACTCGCGATAGGTTCCGCAACAGTTTGTCGCGTCGCGAATTTCGCGCGCGCGTGATTTCGAATCGGCGAAAGACGCGCGGAGATCCTTCGACGTCCTTCGTCTCGTCGTGGGTCTCGGCGCGCGGGCTCGAGGCGACGTCGCGTTCCTGGCGCTGGCCCCCCATGTGCGGCCGAACTTGCGGGCCGCGAGCGCGAGACGACTGGTCGCACGCGCGCGCGTGCGAGCGCGCTCGTGTGCGTGCGTGCGTGCGTGACGTTTCCTTGGAGTACGCACGGATTTATCTCCCGACGCTGTGAAATGCTGATTACGAGCTGGCGGCATGTTGTGTGCGACGGCATAGTCAATGCGGACACGCGACTACGCACGGGTGAGTGTTTTTGTTTGCGCTCTCTCTCTCTTTCTCTCTGGAGCCTTCCTTTGCTCCGTCTCTGTCCTTCCCTCATCGTTACGCGCGAATGTATGTACATATGTGTGCGATGGCATTTGAGGTTAGAACGCGCCGTTCAGAGATGTCAAGTGCATGACATATAGGGCGAAGGGTGTCCATGTAAGGATCTTGTGTGAGACGGTCCGTTGAGTTTGCTCGCTATATGTAAATGTCAGTGGCGGATTCGAAGCAGTTATGTGACCTTATTAGCTGCGACATGAATAAAGCGATTTTTTTTCTTTAAATAAGCATTGAAAAAAATTTTTAATTAATTTTTAAAATTATTTTTTGTCAGCTCCTTCTATATGTAGAATTTTTAAAATACGTGTTTTCATTTATTTAGATTTTATTTATAATCCGCGAACATATATTTATGCAAAATGACAGCTGTTTATTTTCGAGATATAGTAAAAATACGTTTTGTTGAAATAATATTATTCTTTCACTTTTTATACTGAAAACAGAAACATGCATACCAACGAATAACTGCCTTTGTGAATATTTATTAGGCCGTTATCCTTGACATTCTTGTCGTCCTTTAAAACAGCTTACGCGTACTTGATATGTGATGTCATGAATAGATTTCTCATATTATGCACATTTAGTACAATGCACGGAAAAATAATTCTCCGTAATAATTCACAGAATGCGTTTATCCTTTTTCTAGAGTTTTACTATGAGAGAGAAATTTACTCGGAAATAGAATACGTATATCTACTCGTACGTGACACATTAATACGTGTCAACTAACTTTATGCTTAGACAAAGTACCCATAAACTATTATATCTTATATCGTGTTCTATATTATATATGACGTATTGAGATTGAATATAAAAATAGATTTAGTTTACATTTTTTTTAAATCAATGTAAAAATTTGAATTTTAAGAATTCTTATCATTAATTAAATTAGGCATAAAATACAATACAGTGCACATAATGGAAAGATAAAAATTAATATAGTTTAACAAAGAGATGAAAGAAAGAGAGAGAGAGAGAGAGAGAAATCATTTTTTTCTCTCTCTTAATAAATTATGTTATATATTTTATTATATTTTAATAATAATTTTAATAATAATAAAAGAATATATATTTTAATAAAAGTAAAGAACAATTCTATTTTCTATAATTTTATCATTAAAATATCATCATTTAAATAAACGATTATACGATAAAGTACTTTACGATACTTTTCCGTATAGCAAACGCTTAACGGTTTGTCTTTTATCTTTCACAATGACAATGGAATTATCTCGTAAACAGTTTAGAAAATAAATTGAAAGATAAATTTATCGTAAACGTTCGCCCTTGATAGAAACAAGGACAGAGCCGGAAGAAATGTATTTCATTATAGTTGCGCGCGAATGTTTATATTCTGTCGGCAATATTTGTGAAATAAATATCTGAAAATTTGCGAAATTTTCTCGCGATTATCGCCCTAATCATAACGTCACTGGCAACTGACTACTTGTTGCATAATGCATCGATCTTTTTGACCTGACGTACTATTGCAGCGTCTTTGTGCAAATACAGCCAGGTATACTTAAATTTATGCATTTATCTTTATGCAATTTGTATTAAATGTCACTAGTGTCATGATTCTATCTTTCGCAAAATATTGAATATTTGTAATCACGATAAGAGAGATGAATTAAAAATTTATGCACCGCAATTATATTTGAATAATTAAAATGGATATCGTAAAACTATAGCGTATATTGCAGTTTCACGGCTTGAAGCAATTATTTTTAATTATTTTTAACGTCTAGAGTCTAAAGCGTATCGATGAAGGCATCTACACAGAGATAAATTTTCTTAGAACTTAGAATTTACCCTAAAAATCATGATAATCAGAACAATATGGTATTGTAAGAATTTTATAAAAGTTTCTTTGATTAATATTTTTACCACAATAAAAAATTTTAATATCTACCACAATAAGATATAAAATATGTTCAATTAATTTTACTATCTGTATAATAAAATTTATTATGTACATATAAATATTTTTTATTGTGATAATTAATCAGAAAAACTCTTATAAAATTCTTTAAATACCATATTATCTCATGATTACTATGATTTTCAAAGTAAATTCTAAGAAAAAAATTTTTTCCGTGTATATTGAATCTTATTAACTTTATATTTGGTTGAACGAAGACACGAGTAGCGATTTAGCTCGTGCAAATAATATGTTGTCAAAGTACCGATCCTTTCCCTCGAAAAGTCGCTATATTATTTCTTTCATTCAGAAGCCTGAATCTGTAACCTTGAAGTAACTACACCCTTGAATGATCGATAAAAACCGACCACTGCATTAAATCCGGGGCACCATACAACTTACAGTCTCGAGAATGCTTTTAGCGTAAAATTACTTCCTACGGAAAAATACAAGCCCGATTGCACTTTATATCGGAGCCAATAATATTCTTGATTATAATACAACGGAGTATAAATTAATCAAACAATAATCCTGTGTTCTGCGAAGAGATAATTGCAAATTGCAAACGTTATCGAAAAATGTATTAATCATGATATGAAATTTATTGTACCAGTTTTCGATATAGCTTCACAATTCCATGTCATCATTCTTCAATAATTTGCCTTGTTTTCTGTTTCCTATTTTCTGTAAAACTCATCGTCACGTGTTCTGCGAAGAGGTAATCGTGAAAAGTGTTTTAATCTGAATATGAAATTTATTAAATCTGTTCTTAATAAAGCAGTTCCATATAATTATTTCTCAATAATTTGTTTCGTTTGCTGTTATTTGTAAAACTCATTGTCACGTGAAATTACAGATACGATTAATGCTTTCGAAAGTTATTTGATATTGCGTCTCTTTGTTTTTTGTTATGAAATTAATTCATTTATACTAATTTATATTTTTATCTCTTATATATAATATCTTTTTTCTCGTATCTTGATTTTACTTAGCAAGTTATAATTATTATGTTATTATTATCTCAAGAGAATTTTATTCTATTTTAATTTTATAAAAATATTTTATGTGCATGTATATATCGTGCTCATGATTATATATTAAGTAATCTTCTGCGTAAATTAATTAACATAGCCTTTGCCATTTTATTCACATATTTTTAGTACTGAAATCATGCAATGTGGGGGAATAGTCTCTTTTTGCGTGAGCTAAACTCACCCAGCTTTCCATTCTGTTCCAATTGCGTTGAGTTATTTTTATGAAGAATAGGAGCGGCTATGTTATGATGACATGAATCCAATGTCATAATTATCTTCGCGTCCCTAATAATTTATGTAAATAACTGGTTAAAAGAATTAATGAAATAAAAGTACATAATATCTAACAATAAGTGATTCTTGCAAATTAACTTTTAACTGTTTATTAAAATACGAACTGAGACTTGAAAAATATACATATAAAAATGCAAAGATGAGTGAATTATGACATTGTTAGTAATTTATTTCAATTACATTAAATTTCGAGAAATGAGATCATCGTGTTAAATGTAAGTTTCATTAGCTAACGCTGTTTAAAGTTAGAATCCTTAATTGCTCCCTTAATGATAAAGCATGAGTAACAAGTGATGACGGTTCAGTGTTTCAAATTCAATTTTCCACGCGAATGAACTATTCAATGT